CCGCTGGTGCTGTGCACAATTATTTCAAAAAGGGGAAGTTATGGACAGGTTTCAACAGAAGTTTTTCTGGAAAAAAAAAAAAACAACTCCTGGAGGGAACACCAGAAGAAAGAAGAGGTCTGCTGTGAAACCAGGCTTAAAGACTTATCAACACAAAGTGCTGAGGAGGCCATTGCTCCTCACAGCAACAGAAAGGAAAGTAACTCGGCTGCCTGAAGTAGATGGACAGGATTGACCTTGACCATTTCAGATCACTCGACCCTTCTTGGAGGTTCCTGCTCTTTGGAGCTTGCCATTTTGAAGCCCCTTTTCTCACACCCGCTTCCCTAAATACATATAAGCTCAGGAGACAGGCAAAGCAAAGGGAAATTACTTCCAGAGGGAAACATTATGCCCTGGGAAAACTTTCTGCCTCACCAGATGACTGCAAGACACCAGACTTAAAAATAAAAGAAATGTGTTGATTCCCCTCCTCCGCAGCCTACGCCATGTGGTAAGGGGAAAAGCAGCTTTTGCTTTTGGACGCCACACTCCCCTTTTCACGATTTGGGGCACAGCTGACCAAAAGGACAGCAACATGCTTATCATACCATTTCCATATATGACAAAAGCTTGATCACCTCCACTGTATGTAAGGGCTTTTTCTTTTCAAAATGTATACACTCACTAGTTATTTACCTACTTAGATCACTCCTAAAAGGTCAACAGTCTTAACGTGTGAGGCCAGCAGCAAAGAAAAGGCTTCAAATACCAGATCTCTCTAGCCCACAGCTATTAAAATCCAGACCAGCATAAAAACAATGTGTAAGCAGGAACACTGTCTTTTAGGCAAGGAGTATTCAGAATAACATTTCATCTTTAAAACAAACAAAACCCAATAATCTGTGACTTAAGATAGCACACTGTGGTCAGTATTTATTCATAGCTGTACTTTAATTTCTAGCAATACATCACAGCCAGGAGTTTACAAAAAGGTAATAAAATGTCCAAAAGTATTTTTATTCATTTTAATCATTTTCTTACTTCCTCTTTGCTTGACAGAGCTGAAACAGAAACAGCAAAACATCAGATCATCACTCCATCCAATTTGTCTCCATTTTTTCTGCTTGTCTATATCCTTTTAAAGTCAAAAGTACTGTAATGTCTCTAACAGCCTTCACTATGTCACCTCTTCTGCTGCAAGGTAAGTAAGTCAGCCCATTATCCATTCACAGAACTGAACTACATTCCTTAAGTCCTAATCCTTTTATTACTTATTTCTCAAATTAGTTACTCACTTCTCTTACAGTTCTAAGACACTGACACTACCATTCAAAATAAACACTGTAACATTAGACTTTGTGGTGTTCTCCACTCTCGTGATAATTAGCTCATGACAGTCCCACAAACAAGAAAAAGTGGTGATGAGATCTGAAAAAATCTGATCCCCCTCCTCTTTATTCACTTTTGCAAATCTTCTTTATGAGCATTCAACATACGCCTCTACAGACACTGGTGGGCACAATGAAAGTGCAAATCCTCTTCTCAAAAATGACCATGGCGTAAGTTAACAGCTCTGCCAGAAATAAAAGTTCCTCCCTTCTCCCCAGGCCAGCCCCCTCCCTCCTGACACTGGCGTGGGCACTCAGGCAGATGTGGGGCGAGAAGAACAAGGGACAGGGATGGGGTCAGTGTCACCCCCAGGGAAGGACAGCACCAGCACCACAGGGTTGAGAAGCGGCATCCCAATCCTGCGGGGATGCAGCCCTGCTTCCTCGCAGCCCTCTCACCCTACACCCTTGTTTAAGGGCATTTCATTCCATCCTTTTCTAAGGTCTCTGTTCACAAAATAGTCATTTAAAACCAAAACACTTCTGCTTAATACCTTTTTCTTTAAATTCTTGGGCCTGGCTGAGTTCTCAGAAGAGGCCAGGTTCACATCACATTGACATTAATGGGATACTTCCCACTAAATATAGGGAGATTTCCTAAGTAAAGGTAGCGCACTGTGCCTATCATTTGGTGAATCAAAATCCCATGCGCTGTCATCTCTGAACAGACAAGGATCCCCGGGGGTAAGAACTACAGGTAAAGCTCATGAAAACACATATAGGGCTTGCACAGAAACAGTTTTCAAAGATTGTACACAAGTATACAGATGGGATCACGCTAATAAATGAGGTGCTGTAGGGAACAAGCATTTTTTTAATAAACGTTTCTAATTTTAACTCTGATTGGATTAATTTAGCTTGAAGTTTTAAATAAAAATCTATTTAAACAAATGTTTTCTGCTAAATTACCTAAACAAACACATAGCACCACTGAGCTGGGGGGAGGGGAAAAAAAAAAAAAAAAAAGAAGAGAGCAGTGTCCCAACTGCTGCTTGATTTTTCTAAAGGATTTGTTTCAACATGTCATAGTCAAACAAGTTAAACCTGCACTATCATTCCCACCCTCTTCTAATACAAATAACATTTATGTACAGTTATATTTTATGAAGTAGTTCCTTATTTGATTGACAAGAAGCACAATCTCTTGCAAAATAAATTCCATCTCAGTACAAAATACTCTCTGAAGGCCCTTCTCATTCCTCTTCAAGGCTTTTCCAGTTTCCCTGGCATCATCTATTTTGAGACCTTTTGGATCACATCCCTATTTTCTGCTATTATTTACACTAGTCAGGTGCTGCCAAAGCAATAAAAAGAAAGTTTGAGGAAACTGAACGCCAAGCTACGCAAAGTTAATTTGAATCACACAACTGGTAGAGAGCTATGCATCCACGATGAAATCCAGCATGCTAAAAACCTTTTTCAGAAGTAAACTTTTTGCTGTAAATAATTTTGAAGGATAGTATCACTTATTTCAAGATTAATTCAGCTTCAAAATTATCTCAACCAATATTTAACTTAGTTATAACGCCAAAACTACCCAAGTAGATAGACCCTGACCTTTTTTTTTTGTATACCCTTTTTACTTTCAAAAGAATACTGACTTATATGGCACTTTATAGAAGGATTATAAAACTACATGAGATAAAAGAATATGATCTACTGAACAGCCTGAATATTTACAAAGCACTTAAGTGCAACTTAGTAACTAGGGCATTTTAGGTGCACATATTATATGAGTCTGTATGAATATCACTCAACATCATTAAGCCAAGACAAGCATATACACCCACGAGGTTTATTGGGGGCATGGGGGACAATATTTTTGAATGTACATAAACAACAAACCCCACCCAAAATGCACACAAGGTGCCAAGGAGCTGCATGTTGGTCTTGCCAGCATAGAGATCTGCTCAACCTAGTAAGCAGGTCAAAATTCTGTATGAAATTTAGGTGCAAAGGAACATCAACCCAAGTACAACAAAACTACAGCTAAAATTTGTATGTTGCACAACAACGTTACGTCTAATGAGCAATCTGAAACAGAAAATACAATTGAAAACTAGTTAGTCAAGAACAAAGTACCACAATAGGACCACCCAGCCTGGCTGTCTACAGCCCCTCCCTTTGTCAGTTCTTGGGGAGGGAGGAGGAAGAAATGGCAACAGCTCAAAATAATCTGTAATTCTTCAACAAATAAAAAGCTGATATGTGTAAGGAAGTATTCTCAGCCCATGTATCTTGAGTATCTGCCGAACGATAAATTTGTACAGAACAGCTGACGATAAGACACTTGCACTTGTCTAGAACCTTGCAGAATCCATGCTGCCTTTTCAACACTTGCCCATTTTTGTCCTGAGGGGCCCAAAAATACTATATCTTGAGTGGTGTACAGCTGTTACACCAAAATGAACTCCCAAGGTACCCCATTTCTAATTTCCTCTCGTGCACATTTTTGTATAATGTGGGTATGCATCAATCCATACGGCTTCCCCATTTAGTTTTCTGTTGATGAACTCTGTGTAGTTTTTAAACCCTTAGCTGCAGTTTCTAATTATGTAACAGAGAAATGCAGGTGATGAATTAGAATATTTTACACGGGTACTGTACATGAAGTGTTCTTGTTTACAAGCTACAGTCAAAAAATAGATTATTCTGGTATGAACTCCAGTCACTAATTTCATCAAGCCAAGAACTGCACTGCACAAGTTTTCACTTTCAACATGAATAGTTTTAAAATATTTAAACTGTTCTTCAGATTACTCATTGTCCTAGTTTACTAGCTTTTTAGTGAATTGGCAGACAGGCAATACGCAGGACATACTATTGCCAATGATGCAAAGCAGAACTGAAGAAGGTCTTCAATTAAGGCAAGTTCAGCTTATAAAGAAAACAAAAGGACCTCAGATGCTAAATATTAATAGCTTTTAAATGTCACACAAATTGGATAACTATACAAAGAAAGGTTTAAAAAACATGACCAAAATAATATCAAAAACACAGATCCCTTTTGAGGCCAAAGTAGAACGTGACCACGTACCAAAATGACATTAAATGCCCGCCTGGTATCACCTTAAACATTTAAGTATCCTATCACTCACTAACTCCAGAAGTTCATAGCTGCTGAAGGCATTCAATCAGAATGGAGTTTATAAGAACTAGGCAAAATATTTACAAGTGCTGGAGAAAAACAGAAACATTTACATAATCTTTGGCAACAGGATATAAAAATATTGCACTTCTAGTACATTGTCCAGCTGCTTACAGAAAAAAACCCATCGTGTTAGGACAGCAGGAAAGGCATCTTAAGCAAGCAAGTGAAAGCTAATTTTTTTTCCATTTTTCTTTTTAAAAAGTTTCGGAGGTCTCAAAATAACAGTAAGTGATTAATTCAGAGTACAACATAAAACATACTTCTAGAAAAACATAACACTATAAAACCATTCAAAGCAACTAGTCACATTTAAAATGATAACCCATCACTTAATCTTAGTACAGCCTACATTCTTAGATGGTCCTTATGTTTTCCAAATTATTCTCACTAGTTGTCTGGAAAATTAATTATTTAAGCCATTAACTTCAATAAATGCTAAAACTTTGTCTCATTGAAAGTTAAAAACAAAAGACACCTACCTGTAATACCGAGATTGTAAATAGGTTGAGCAAATAGTCTTTGATACATGGCTGGCAGACCCAAAATCTATTACTTTAACCCGGTAAGGCTGCCGAACAGGATCCACCAACATAATGTTCTCTGGTTTGAGGTCAGCATGGATTAAACCCAGACTTTTTAGTTTTTTCAGTGCAGTGGCCACCTGTTGCAGAATAGGCCGTATTACTTTCAGTTGCAGAGGGCTGAATTTGTTTTGCTTCAGGAAGTCGTACAAATTCTGTTCCAACATCTCAAAAACCAGGCAAGTATGGTTACGATGCTGAAAGCATTCGTAGGCTCTCACAAAGTTAAATTCATCAGCGTTTTCAGTACTTAGTCTCGCTAATATGCTCACTTCTATTTGTCCTTGGCGTGCATACGAAGGATGATTCTTCAAGATTTTGATTGCCACAATCTCATTTGTCCCCCTTTTCCAGCACTTCACGACTTGTCCAAAGGTCCCTCGCCCAAGGAAATCAAGAACCTCGTAAGTGTTTTTCACAGAGCACAATACCTCATGCTGCACTAACTGGTAATCTCCATCTCCGCTTGTACCACTTTGTTTTGAAGCCGCAGCCGTTGTCACAACCGTCACTGGGTTCCCTACGTTGGTTTGCAACATTGCAGGCAGGATGGACAGTTCATCAACAATCTGCATCGTGCTGTTTTGATTATCCAGCTCTTCACTCTTACGCTTCAATCCACATCGCTGGGGTCCTTCCAGGATATCTGATCGGCTTCCTTGCGTCCCAGTCCGAGGTGCCTCTAGCTGAGCTTGCTGCGCCCGCGCTGCTAACGCTTTTGTAGCACCTGCAATATTTTTTAAAGCAACAGCATTTGACTGCAACAAAAAGTTCTGTCCTCGAGGTCTGTCAAATGGGTTTTTAGTCTGAAAGTACGCACTAACCCTGTGGGGAGAAATTCCAAAGTTTTTACCATTCACATAGATTTGCGGGTAGGTTCTTTCGTGGTACACACAACTGCTTGGTTCTAGTTTGAGTTTCTTCACACTACAAAAGGCACTTGACTGGGTTTGATAAACATATGGTGGATAGACCAAGACTTGTGAGGCCATACCTATGGAGGGAGAGAAAAAGAAAAAGCAAGTGAGAATCCTGCATCCACTTTTCCAAGCTTTGCAGCAGCTTCCTCTTCTAAAAAAAAAAAAAAAAAAAAAAAAAAAAAAAAAAAAAAAACCAGGACATGAGTTTATTTTCCACATGAGCTAACCTGAAGTTATTTCACATTTATTTTTTTATGACCCGTTGCAAGGTCCTCATGCCTTACTGGTGCACACTCTCCAGCACACAAGGATTGCAGCAGCAGCAGGTTACAGCAGTAAGAGCTTTTGCTGGTTGCACAGGGCAGGACTGAGACCATCCACAGCAGCCCACTACTAGTAATTCTGCAAGTGGGAGAACTACCTTTGTGCTATTAAAAACTCAGCTTTCATTTAAAAACCCCCAGCATTTCTACATACAAAAGTACCATAGTGTTAAAAAACCAATACAAATATTTATTAATAACAATGTAAAATAACTTCAAAGCTCTTAATTGTGAGCTGATGCTGCTGCTTATACAAGGGACCCAACTGACTCATCATAAGCACCATTGGGCTTCCGAGAGCCGACAGACAACTGACACGACTGTCACTGCTCCAAGAAATTCACCATGAAAGTCATCAGGCTGTGTGACGGGGCTCAAAATACCTTAGGGGCATGTGTACATCCCCATAAACAATTACATTTTCTAAGTAAATTAACAGTTACAGTAATCTAACCCATTCACAAAAGGCAAGGGCTTTCTCTAAGTTATACACCATCCCGTTGCAGAAGCTTGCACAGTTATAGCGGGCAGAGGCATAATTTTTTTTTTTCCTCCCTTCAATTCAGATTTGGAAACCAAATATTAACCTCACATTTTCAGATATTCCAATTCCATTAGCTGGGACACAGAAAACTTGCACTCTAAGGTAACCTGTTAAATTAACTAAGTATAATCGACAGATCTACAATATACACCCCTGCTCTAGATCATTTCTGAAAGCTGGGGTGATAATTGTAGGTAGAGAATGTACAAGGACAGACTTCTTGCAGAAAATTTATTTTCAAGTGAATGTGAAGGGAAGAAAAATAACATTTTTCCATGTTCTGTGTATATTTTTTCATATTTATTTCCTGCCAACACAACTACTTCCTTGCTGAAAGAGAAGTGAAAGTTAGAATAAAAGACTGTGGATAATTTTAACTTTCTAATTCCCAGTAAGGTAGAGATGACAATTTCTCATCACATTTTTGGAAGGCTACACCTGTACAGCCTCTCAGAAAGAACACCTACACCTCACCAATTGGAAACGATGAACAGTTTTGCACAAGAGGAGGCAGTTTGCCAGCCCGGGAAGCCCCCGAGCACAGCAGCCCCGTTCTGCATAGCCCATGAGACAGCACAGGACTAGTCCCACTGCCTCTCCAAAATTGACCTTGACTCAGGCCACTGGCTCTGCAGAAAGAAGAGCCACAACACCATCCAGGGTCATGCTCCACACCATAACTCCCTTTCCCAGACATGAGGCAGAGCGTGCCAGCATAACATCGGAGGGAGGAGGACAACGGCAGCGGCACCTACCCCACACGTATGACAAGGAACCTCAACTCCATTTGAAATGCACAGACCCCATCTCTCGGATGCTGCACCTTCCAGCTCTCGCCTCTGCACTGACCCTGCTGCATCTGCTTCCAGATTCGTCAAACACCAGCCTTAAACTTTCATGTCATGTAATGATAAACACTCAGAAAAAGGCACTGGATGGACCCCAGTGTAAATTACTACAAGATTTCAGGGAAGTTATGGCTTATGCCAGTCCAATCAGCTCTCAGATACAAATTCAATATTAATATTTTAATTAAATCACTTTTTCATACCAAGCACATGAAGATTCTGGCAATAGGTATTTAAACTGCAGATGAGTCACATAAAACTTGAGCCAGACATTGCAATGACTCTGATCAAACGAAAATCAACCAAATGCACGGCATAATTATCCTGAAGCTGTGATTTGATTTATGCAAATTAAACATTTAAACATCTTAAGAGTGATTAAAATAATCATACCATCACCTCAGTTTAGCATCCTAAAATGTTTTTTGCCCCAACAGCAGAAGAAAACTTCAAAGCCCTTTCCTTTCCACAGCTGTCTGCCCAGCACCAGATGATGTAGAAAGCTGGGGAGCGCTGGCAGCTGGGCTCTCTCGCCACCAGACATTATGGGACTGCCACTGGCCTCCTGCTCCATCCAAGGATTTAAGATCAACTCTTAACCTCAAAACACAGGTAAAAATTCTCCAAGTTCCCAAATTCTCTCCTAAATAACGTACCCCATTACAAAGTGCCTGGTGCACAGCATAAGCATATTATTGACTATGAGACTCTTCCTCTTTTCTATAATAATTATATTTAAAGGAATCATTTATCCTGATCACAGTACTTAGAGCTCCAAATTCAACTCTCACTGACTGCCCTGGAGCACACATACGTCCAAGCTTACCTGGAGCTTCCAGTGCCACCTGCGCAGCTCAGGCCAAGCCAAACCTGCTGTTCTTCCAGTTCTTCTGGGATGACTCAAATACCAAATTTGCCACATTTACTCCAAAGATACTAAAGTCTCAAAATAATGGGTTTTTTTCTTAAAGTCTTTTCAAGGTTCCTGCTAAAAAAACCTCTGCTTGTTTCTTCCACCAGTATCCCTACTTACACCTCCTTCACATGCCTGCACATGAGAGAAGTAAAACATACAACCTCAAACTTTTTTTGTTAGGTTTTGTTACTATTTTGGAGGACTCAGGTTACAATGTAATCCTACAGATAACTACATTGGAAAGAGTACAGTTACTGGGTTGCAGGATTGGGTTGGGGTTTTTTTAGCACGTCTTCTGATAACAGAAAATAATACACTCCACATTTCCACCTACCATAGAGTGGATCTTTCTTTTCCCTGCCTTGTCACAAATCACTTCACTGAGCTTATACATCTTTCTGCACATTTCTTATCGAGACGACTCCTGCTTCCTCATACGAACGGAGGCTTGTCAGACCGTATCTACACTAACAAGTCCAGCAGCATGATAAGAGAGGGATGGATGCGTAGTGCAAAGCAGCTGGTGCTAAAGGGGAGGAAAAAAAACCAACTTATTCTGTGTTCATTTTAGGGAGGGTACTTGAGCCTGAACATTCATGACCAGCTGGAACACATCTTCCAGTTAAATTTCATTTAAAACAAAAGCCAAATGTGTGCACTACAAGGCCACTCCAGGATGCAAACCAAAGCAGAGTAAACAAAACCATGAGAAGATGGACTGAAGAGCGCAATCCCCAGGCAGCCTCCAGCTACTAGAGTAGCTTCAGACTCAATTTTCCGTTTGAATCTCAGGGAAGTCTGTCCATTCCCCCTACACACATTTTCAAAGCCCTCTCCTCCTTCCCCAAGGGCAAGATGACCACGACAACTTCACTCCAGCAGTGATCGCTCCAGGGCAGTGGCATGCACAAGCTCAAGTTGGCTCCAGAGTTCTCTGGCTTGCTTTGCTCTGGGGGAGCTTGTAGGGTATGTGGACAAGAAAGCCTGTCTCGAGATACCTACCAACTATTATCAGCTCTACACAGGGTCCCTTCGAAGGAAATAAGTCTTCTTGGCTCTCAGGTTGAAGCAAAGAGAACTGCACTTGGCTTATTAAACATTAACTTAAACAAAAGGTGTGAATTTTCATCAGAGCTAAGATTGTAAATTCTGTGCTTCTGAAGAGAGTACGAAGTAATGAAGTAAACACATTTTAAATTAGTAAATTCATTTAAATAAATGAATAAACACTTTTCACAAAGTAACGACAATAAGAGTCACTTCACAGTCTACCCCCCTCCCAGCCAAGCTTGTCTCTACAGAAACTCAATAGAAAACCACACAAACATTGCTCAGTGAAACGGAGCCCTGCTGGTAATGCCCTGCTAATGTTCACCTAGTTGTAACAATGCTCTTTACCAGATTCTTCAAATTGCATCCCCAGCCTCCTCAAGCAGTCCTAGGCAAATTCATCAACGTGGCCAATCTGGCAGACTAACAACCTTGAGAAGAACACGCTGTTCCAGGCCTGACCACCGTTAATAATTAACTATAAATTGACATTTCCTCATGACTGGGTAACGGGGGGTGTAGCAGAGTAAGTAGTTAGTAACACCACTGCAGCAGAGCTAAACAGAAATTGCCATGCTACACCCTCAATCCTTCTGCTAAATAAACAGCCCCTTTTCAATGCCCCAAGAAGCGCAATCACGACATTTGCTGCTGGTGTAGTAAAATCCCCAGCAAGCAAAGCCTAGCCGGTGGCAGCCACCCAACACTATAGTTACAATTTAACTCAAGAAAACTTGTTTTCCAACCTCTTTCAGGCCTCCATCGGTGAGAACCAGCTCCAACACACTTGCACACCTTCTCACAGCACAGCTGGGCATCAAGGGAAGCTTTCTACAAGCTCAGTCGCTTCCAGCAAATGCACCATTTGAGCAGTAGCACTTATGAAGAGTTTTATTTACATTATTCATCACTTTGAAAACAACATAAGGATACTGACATTTTTCCCAGGTAAAAAAAAAAAAAAAAAAAATTGTTCTTTTTCTATTAGTTGCTGCCCAACTTTAAGTTACTTGGCAAAGCTGAGTTAACTGCATCTCTCTTTCCCCCAAGAAGCAGCCTTACTACTGGTAGTAGCAGCGCTTCTATGTTATTGTTTATTTTGGATACGTAGCCGAACAAGCTGTACTGATGTGAGAGCTTTCATACCCATGAAGTGTTCACCCTGAGGAATTCCCTTACTCCAGCTGTACAACTCATAACAAAGCACTGGCAGTTGAGGTATCTCACAATTCATACAGAAACACACATCCACAGAAAGTGCAAACCATCAGGAGATACAAGCCCAGGGAATCCAACCCCCAGCCACCTCAAAACCAGCCTGCAAACAGATCTCTGACCCATGGAAGGGAAGGGGCAGGGCAAAGGAGAAAGCACCGAGGTGTTCCAAGTCA